GAATTGGCAAATTTTTAAATCGAATGAAAGCTTTGAAATAATTCTGACAGAGCTAGAAAAAGACTTCTTAGTACATTATGTTCTCCTAGTAGCCCGACACCTTTTACGTGTGTCGACAAATAACAGCTGTGGCATTAGGAAAAGAAACACCTCCTCGCACATCATATGATCCTGATACAGAATTGGCAAATTTTTAAATCGAAAGAAAGCTTTGAAATAATTCTGACAGAGCTAGAAAAGACCTCTTCGTACATTATGTTCTCCTAGTAGCCCGACACCTTTTACGTGTGTCGACAAATAACAGGTGTAGCATTAGGAAAAGAAACACCTCCTCGCACATCATATGATCCTGATACAGAATTGGCAAATTTTAAATCGAAAGAAAGCTTTGAAATAACTCTGACAGAGCTAGAAAAAGACCTCTTCGTATATTATGTTCTCCTAGTAGCACGACACCTTTGTATAAGTTTGTCGACAAGTAACAGGTGTAGTATTAGGATAAGAAACACCTCCTCGCACTCATATGATCCTGATACAGAATTGGCAAATTTTTAAATCGAATGAAAGCTTTGAAATAATTCTGACAGAGCTAGAAAAAGACCTCTTCGTATATTATGTTCTCCTAGTAGCACGACACCTTTTGCATAAGTTTGTCGACAAGTAACAGGTGTAGTATTAGGATAAGAAACACCTTCTCGCACTCATATGATCCTGATACAGAATTGGCAAATTTTTAAATCGAATGAAAGCTTTGAAATAATTCTGACAGAGCTAGAAAAAGACCTCTTCGTATATTATGTTCTCCTAGTAGCAAGACACCCTTTGTATAAGTTTGTCGACAAGTAACAGGTGTAGTATTAGGATAAGAAACACCTCCTCGCACTCATATGATCCTGATACAGAATTGGCAAATTTTTAAATCGAATGAAAGCTTTGAAATAATTCTGACAGAGCTAGAAAAAGACCTCTTCGTATATTATGTTCTCCTAGTAGCACGACACCTTTTGCATAAGTTTGTCGACAAGTAACAGGTGTAGTATTAGGATAAGAAACACCTTCTCGCACTCATATGATCCTGATACAGAATTGGCAAATTTTTAAATCGAATGAAAGCTTTGAAATAATTCTGACAGAGCTAGAAAAAGACCTCTTCGTATATTATGTTCTCCTAGTAGCACGACACCTTTTGCATAAGTTTGTCGACAAGTAACAGGTGTAGTATTAGGAAAAGAAACACCTCCTCGCACTCATATGATCCTGATACAGAATTGGCAAATTTTTAAATCGAATGAAAGCTTTGAAATAATTCTGACAGAGCTAGAAAAAGACCTCTTCGTATATTATGTTCTCCTAGTAGCACGACACCATTTGCATAAGTTTGTCGACAAGTAACAGGTGTAGTATTAGGAAATGAAACACCTCCTCGCACTCATATGATCCTGATACAGAATTGGCAAATTTTTAAATCGAATGAAAGCTATGAAACATTTCTGACAGAGCTAGAAAAAGACCTATTCGTATATTATGTTCTCCTAGTAGCACGACAACATTTGCATAAGTTTTTCTAGAAGTAACAGGTGTAGTATTAGGAAAGGAAACACCTCCTCGCACTCATATAATCCTGATACAGAATTGGCAAATTTTAAATCGAATGAAAGCTATGAAACATTTCTGACAGAGCTAGAAAAAGACCTCTTCGTATATTATGTTCTCCTAGTAGCACGACAACATTTGCATAAGTTTTTCGAGGCCTCAAAAAAAGGCAGTATATACACTTCCTTTTTTAACAAAAACGACTGCACCAAAATTTCTCGGGAAAACACTTTTTAGTACTAATTTTGGTCCGTAGGTAGATACCAAAACGAGTCGTACTTTTTCGATTAGGGTGGTAGTTAGGTTAGCTCAAAAATCTGGTATCAGGAGAATATAATGTGCGAGGAGATTGAAAGTTAAAATAAAATTTTAGTGAGGTTAGGTTAGGGTGGTAGTTAGGTTAGCTCAAAAATCTGGTATCAGGAGAATATAATGTGCGAGGAGATTGAAAGTAAAATAAATTTTTAGTGAGGTTAGGTTAGGGTGGTAGTTAGGTTAGCTCAAAAATCTTGTCTCATAATAATGTTCGAGGGAGTGATTGAAGGTTAGGTTAGATAAGTTTGGGCGTTTTAAATTTTTTCAATCTTGTATCTAACCTAACTCACATGAAACTTAACTCTCAAAAGTCTTTAAAATGCACACCGATTTAAAATTCTTATTTATTGCGGCGTACTCTTAATGGCGATTTAACTCGTATATTGCGAACAGATACTTTATTAAAATCGTCAAAAAATCTGTACGGACGGCCGTCCGTTCATTCGCCCTGTCCTCTGGCAATCCAAACACGCTGACCCAAAGGCATAGGCAGGCATAGGCTATAATACAGGAGCGAAAAGTTTAATTTTGCGAGTTTCGTGGTTTACTCCTTTGAAAGGGAAAGGCACAAATCCCAAAATGTTTATAGCCTTGCCTGAGTTTTTGGTAATATTAAAATAATCCAAGCTGAATATACTGTTGTGACATCTGTCTTTATTATTGTGGACTAACATTTTTTCGATAAATGCAGAACACTTAGTTATCAACATTATTTTAGTTGCAACCTACACCTCAAAGATGTCGCCACACTACTTGTTTTGTATACTTAATGAAACTAACGTTAGATGTCAGAGCGCTCTTTTTAAAAACCATAGACTCTTCCATAGATATATGAAGTTTTAACCTCAAATGCATAGATGAATGTTTGTTTATTTTATAGTCAAAAATTAAACTTTGTTATCATTCCTTTCTCGCTTACAGGTTTAAATTGTGGACCTGGCAACTGGAAGTGACCGTAAAGCAGCAGACTCCAGCATTGCGGAAAATGATACTGATCGCTCTGTGTCGTCCGATCGGAAGACTGGTAGTTCTCGATGGGTGAGAAAAGTTAGCATTGAATTCGGACAACACAAATTGAAAAGGGAAAGGCTTTGTAACCAAAACAGGAGGACACGTTGAAGCACTCGCAGAAAACCCATTCAAACTTTCCAACGTTAAAATCGGAACAATTACATGATGGCAGCGGCTGCCGATGGTGCGAAGCTATTCGTTAAACAATGGAGCCTTGAGTTCATTCGACAGAACTAAAGTTATAAAAACGGTAGTGAAATTGGCAGCGAAACGGAGCGAAAGTGTTACGCAGTTTGCAAGCACCCAAAAATGTGTTGTTTGTGCGATCTTCGTGTGAAAGTTGTAAAACGGTTCAGTTTAATGTACCTGTTATTGAAATTGTTCTTCCAAGGGCTTTAAATAAACTCCTATGCATAAGAAGTTACGATTTGCAAAAACAAATGTTCGTTTTCTGTTCATTGAGCATGATGTGTTGCCTACAGACCAGGCTACACAAATATCGAGTACCCATATTCAAATTTCGGGATTTGCATGATTATCCCCAATTAAGTACATGAAGGACACCGTAATGAGATAAGTGCTATTGCTACCCACTGCCGAAATGTTACAAAATAGTGATCAAAACGAGCCCCTTTTTGCATAAAGGATTTACATTTTGAAAACATAACTTTCTTTTGTGGTAATGAAAAACTGAGTCGTGCCAGTGGTGACATCTGTCCCTAAGCTTAAACAACTAATATAATTGTTATATAGAGGTGCCCTACAGTTATTGGTAACATCTGAGTCTGACTTAATTACGCCAGATGTCGGGACGATATTTAAGATCATCAACTATTAATTATGGAATAAACTAAAATTATTCAATGACCGTAGTCAATAAACAAAGGTTACATATCATTTGATGTAGGTGTTGAGGCTCTGGTCGTTTTGTATTCCAAAGGCCAAAATGGACTAACTGAGCCAACGGTCGGATACGACGGCCAAAACTTGATAAATATTAAGCCTGGTTTGTAGGCAACACATCATACCCAATGATCGGAAAACTAATTTTCTACTGTTATTGGTAATTTTTTGCACGGGATTTCATTTAAAGTCGATAGAACATTCGACACTGGTACGATTTACAATTTTTACTCGAAGTTCGCACACGCAACAACATATTTTTTCACGTAACACGTTCGTCCCATTCCACTAGCGTTTTTGTATCCGTAGTTCTATGGAATGATTCCTGGAAGCTAAATTTGTTAAAAAATACCTTCACACCATCGGCAGCTGCTGCAATCATGTGAACGCTTCGATTTTAACGTTGAGATG